GGTGCGAAACAGTCACATTCTCTGTATCGATCAGCCTATCCCTCCCCACACATGCTCCCTTTGTCGCCCCCAAAAATAAAACCCCAACTGAGAAGAGTCACCAGCTGGAGTTTAATTTCAGACTCCAAGGCATATCTGGAGCCAATTTGCAATGTGCTTACTCCGAAAATCGCCCTCCCCTGTGACGCTTGACAGCTCCAGACCACAGTCCTGCTCTGAGCTCCGAAGGAAAAATGTTTTAATTTGTCACAAACCAATTATAGCGTCTCATCTATCCCTGAATTACTCATCTTGGCTACAGTCTAGGACAAAGGGCCCCTCTGAGAGAAGATTAGACATGGATATTAACAAGAGAAAAAGTGTCCACTGTCTCACCTTGCTGGGGACGCGGCTTCCAACGAGACAGGAAAAGGAAACCCCTCCTGACTGACAGCCAGAGGGAGGGCTCCCATCCCAAAGCAAATCCCTCGTTTCATGCAAAAGAATAGTCACGACAAACTCTGTATTCAAATAATATTCATGCATGGCAGATAACAGAGTCACGGCTGGCAGAGCTGCAACATGAATATAAATAACCTTCGCTCCGTGGTTGCTACCGCAGACACACTGCCACTGTGCCGGAGCGCGGGTGAAAGGGCCTTCAGCGTGGTGCATGGCGTGGGGAAGGCTGCGGGTGCTCCAACGGGTGCAACTGCCTCGTCTGAGCTCCATGTGCCAGCTCTCTACTGAAGCCTCAAGCCCTGCACCAGGCTGAACACCCTCCCAGGGACTCCCAGAGAGGTCCTCTCCAGCCACCTCCGCCCACCCCAGCTGCCAGGTATACCTGCAGCTCTCACAGGGTGCACCAGTATCCCTTCGAGTTCTTGCTGTGGACCACACCGAGTTTTCCAGACCCCAAGTCCCTCCATATCAGTGCTCCTTCCTTCCCTTCCCAGCCCCGAGCTGGCCTTACCCTTTACCCCAACAGCCAAGGACTGGGGTCTCACCTCCCATGCTGAGACACAGCTTTGAGGATGCTTTCAGTCTGTCCCGTCTCCTGAGCAGCTCGGGTACCGATGCATCCAGCTGGAAAAAGGAGGTGAACGCTCAAAAGCAGCACCCAAAGCTCCCACAGGCAACAAGCACTTTGCATTTCCAGTCTGAACTGCAACGAGCCCCAGCCACTTAGCTCAGCAGTAGGGACAAAAACCTGCAGGCAGAGCTGGCCTCTCAGTCAGCTGGATAACAGGGATGGGTTGCTGCTCCCACTCAAGGCATCCAAGGGCAGGCACGATGTTCCCTTCCTCCCTGTGCCTACTGCAGATCAGCTTCTTCCTTGGGTGAAGAGGGAAATGATGAAAGCCAATTTCCCTTTGTGCTCATGGCAAATAATTTGGAGAATTCCCCTTGTTTACTCAGAACTGTTAATGATGCGTCAGAAATTACCTCCGAGATTGTAATTAAAGAAAACAGCAGAAGAGAGAGAGAGAGACACACACACACATGCTGCCTAATCACAGCTTCATCTTCAAGTCTTGAAGTGCTGGAGCAGACAGCAGCCTCCCCGTCACCCCAGGTCTGCAGAAGGACCCCCACGAGCCTCCTGAACGGCAGAGCCTCAGGGTTGCAAGCCCCCAGGTCCCATACAGTTACCCCCCGAGACACACTCCTCTCCAGCTACAGAGAAAGCGGTGGTGGCACTCTGGGTGTCCAGGAGCTGGTGAGGCCACGAGCTCAACCAGAGGCCGTCAGGAAATGAGCAGGAAGCTCAGCCCCCTGAAAACCATTTTGGGAGTGGACTAGCTGACCTAGAAGAGCAATTAAGCTCTCAGTCATCCCCTAAACGCAGACACCCACATGCACACAGCAATGGATCAGTTAACCCCCTGCTAGCCTGACCTCAGGGCTCGCCTCTGGTGGGGCTGGAGCAGAGCACAAACATTCCTTTCCCACAGAGGATGGAGAGGAATTTGATTCCTGTTCAGTTACAGGAGGGTGCCTGGACTGCCTAATCACTCAGGGTGACTGCTACGGAGAGGCAAGAGCTAGTTTCCCAAAACCTCCCTCCCCGCTCAGTCCCAAGGCCAAATCCTCGTGCTTTCCCTCCTGGAACATTTCCATGGTGCGAGCGAAGCTGCTTGTGCAGCGAGAGCAAACGGGGGTCAGGCTGGGGAACCGGCTCAGCCAAAAGCAGCCAGCTGGAAAAAAGTTGTTCCCTTTCTCCACCTTAGCCAATGGCTTAGTTAATCCAGGGCTCGTTTCGAGCCTTGGATTAGGAGAGTGGTGGAAACGCAAAACCTGCGAGTCCCAAATTCAAGGTAGAGGAGGGAGGAACAGGCTGGGCTGTCCTTGCGTTCACAACCAGCGGCTGTCTGGGTGTGCGGGAGCTGGTGGGGCTGGGACCAGCACACCCTGGCCATAAGCAGAGTGTCCATCACTGCAGACAGGAGCTGGGGTCTCTGGGCAGGATCTGTTGGGATCACTACTCCACTGCTCACTTTTGCTGAAGAAATAGGTGAGCTCAGTCTTGGGAGAGAGCCTCACGCTAGCCTGCACCTCCCGTTCCCAGCACAGCAGGAAAGGCTGGGGGCCCTGCCGCCACTCCTCAGTATTTCTCTCTCAGGACACCACTTAAACCCTGTAAACCCACACAGCACTTTCAGGTGAACCTTATCTCTCCTGCACCACGGTTACCATCTCCAACAGACTGCAGACAGGAGAAGCAGCAGTTTTCCCTCCGAAACGTCTTCGTGGGGGCAGGTAAGCACGTAGACAGCAGGTAGAGTGCCTGCTGCCTGGCAGCTGTTGGCCTTCTCAGTAAAGCCAACCCGTGTCTCTTGGAGAGGGAAGGATTGGAGGAGTTTGGACAATGCTGCCACCCCCAAATCCATAGACTAAACTTCCTGAGGGTGGAGAATCTGAGCCTGAAAAGATGAAAGTGCAGCAACGGCAGGAGGGGGACCCAACTCATGAGGAAGGGTATTTCCCTCCTTCAGCAGAGGTGGTTTCAGCTCCCTCCCTCTCAGCTGGCAGCCCGCACAGGCAGGCTTAATTCTGGGGATTTGCTGCTAATGCCCAGGTCTGGAAGGGGGGCACTCCTCCCCCTCCTCATGCCTACACGCAGCCCCAGGAAAGCAAGCTTCCCATCAGGCAGAGCGGGATGGCGAGGCACAGCACACCAGCCCCTGTGGTCAGCACGTCCCCCAGACCAGCTCATCTTCCCCTCTGGGGGAGCACAGGCCAACGAGCGTGGTGACCGCGCTTCCATCAGCGTTTTGCCCGACGGAGCCACGGTTCAGCCATTCGGGTCACCGACGCCACCGTACGACTGTGGCAGAGCAAGCTCTGCCCCTCGGCTTCTCCCCCGGAGCGCTGCCTCGGCTGGGATCCCACAAGGCTGGGGGCCATCTGTGATGCTAAAGCAGCAAGGGGGAAAACGCGCTTACCCAAGAGCCGGGAGGAGTTCAACCCATAACTGAATCACTGAGAAACTGCTCGGCGCCGCTGCTCGCCAGGTACACACAGCTCTACAAGCTCTAGGCCGGAGAACCTCTCCATCACAGGTACGCCGAGCTCCCGCGACCACGCACGGCTCCAGAGGGGGATGGCCAAACTCGTGCTGGGACTCCGAGATTTGCTCCAGTAATTCTTTATTGGACAAAAGCGCGTGCAGGTACAGGGCGACCCACCGCGTGTACGCACATGGCACACGCCTGGGCACTCGGGACCTCACCCCGCGGTGCCCAGGGCCGGCTGCCTGGGACAGAGAGTCCCAGTGCCACCTCGTGGGTAAGGGACGCATCGCCTCTGCTTTCCCAGCCGGCCCAGCGGGCAGCAAACCTCCCTGCAAAACCTCAGGCCCTGCCAGAGAACAGGACCCGAGGAAATCTCAGAGTACCTGGCTGGGGAGAGGAGGGAGGCACAGGGAAGTTCACGCATCCCAGAGCTGCAGGCATCATGAATTATTCTGATCTTTCCTGCCTGTCTCCATCCCTGCTCCCCAGGTTGACTGGATACTGCCACACAGGGCAGGTATCTGGCTGCAGACCCTCTGGGCTGAGGGAAGAGTAGAAAGACTCACTGCCAACAGCCCCGCACCTGCTCGTACTCTCCTGGTCCCACCAAGGGGAACCACAGCACCCCCTGAAGGTGCTGGCTGTCCGGAGACAGAGCCTCAGGAATCAGAACATTGGTCTGACGCAGAAGACTCATGGGTGAAGCAAAACCATTCATTCCCTTCTGCTCCCAGTTAGCACCAGGTTGCTAAAGACTTCTGTTCATTTTCAGC